AAAGTCGTTTAATTTAATTCAAAGACATGTTAAACAACATTGCCCATGAAATATAAATTGTTGTACTCAAAAACGTGAATTTAAAGTGATTCAAAATATAAAATTTTCGCAAAATCGCGAAATTTAAGAGCCTGTTTACATGGAAGTGGGGGACCCCAGGTAGCTGAGGTATCCCGCTTAGGTGGGATAGCCCACCTGTCCGTATAATCTCTCATTTTAATTTGATCTCGTTTATGAGACAAGACAAGACAAGACAATGCTTTATTTGGAGTCTTATAAAGTCCTATGTACAAGGACTTTATCCAAATCATAACCCAAATTGCACACTAGTGGAACTATAATCAATGTTAACCTAAACAACTAATGATCTTCTTTTCTCATAGCAGTCGAATACGTATTTTGCAATTAACTTTTCCACTGGTTTGTTCTTGCTCAGAGGGTTTATTAACAACAGAAAAACATCACCTGGTGCCATTCTGTTTACTGATATTTTGTATTCTTTGCGTAAGTATTCAAATAAAGTACTTCTTTTTTCTTGATACGCAGGGCACAGAGTTAAAAAATGTATTTCATCTTCTACGTCTTTTTTACAGATAGGACAGATCCTCTCTTCCGGTTTCTTATAAGGTCTTACATACCGACCTGTCTCTATCGCCAATTTGTGATTACTTAGACGGAGTTGAGTTAGAGTGATCCGGTGTCGGATGTTGGTGACCTGACAGAGATAATGATGGGTGCGGTGACCGCCAAGGCGGGTAGCCCGGTCTGCCAGACCGGGCAACCCTCTCAGCCGGGGTCGAATTTTGCCACGTAAACGTTTCAAGGTGGAGTAACTCGTCTAGCCGGGGTCGGATTCGTGATACACCAAATTCGCCCAAAATTCACTTTGGCGGTTGCTTTGCATGATTATTATAAGGTAACAATGGAAAGCCAGAGCACTGAAGGTTGCAGCAAGAGCAGCAAGTGAGTGTAGAAGAGCATTAATCGCCAAAACACGTGGTTTTCCATCATTTTTCTTGTCTACGTGCTTAGCGACCATTCAACAATCTTGAAAAAGCGTACCCCGGAATGGCGGGGTTATAAGATTGCATGTAAAGGAGGATATTTTTTACCCCACCTGAGCGGGTTACCTCACCTACCTGGGGTCCCCACCTCCATGTAAACAGGCCCTAAGTGTCGCGAAATATGCGCACATGAAAATCGAAATAAACAACTCGCGAAAATTTCATGTAATAAGGTATGCTTATCATGCTTATGCTTATGTCACGAAAGTGTTCACTAGCCCATAAAATTCTTATGCTCGCTTAACCTGCGTACCAGGCGTCGAAAGGGCAAGGGGATTAGGAGGAAGGGAAAAGGTGAGGGGCTATCGCACTTTTCTCCTTCTCCCCTCCCCTCAGCCCCCTCCCCTTTTTGCACCTGCCCCGCTGCCATGCAAATATCCTTCCCCCCCCCTCTCTATCCCCCACCTCCTCGATGTTTTTCGTTCTAACTTTTCTTTTCATAGAGGAGTTCAATACCATCTTTACTTTCTGAACTCTCTTACTAGAGACCTTTAGATTCGAGGACGACAACGAGAACGACATTTCACTTGAAGTTTTTTGGCGTATTCTTAAAAAAAGACATCCCGAAAAGCTTCGTCGTACTTTTTTTTTACTAGAAAAGTTAACACTGTTATCTTTTTGAAGCAGGTTAAACCACGTATCGATCGCAAAATAACAAAACTTCTAACATTTCATAACGGTAACTTGTTTTCGCCGCTACAAAATTCTTGCTAAAACTCGTACTAGAATGACGACGACTATCACGTTTTCCTGCCAAAATGACGCTGAGCACTACTTAGTATTGAGAAAATTTCGTACTCGTAGGTTTTCGTCTTAGAATCCAAGGCTCTTTACTATCTGAACGCCTGCAACAGACTATTCTTGCGCCAAAAGACTCTTCCGTGGCCGCAACAAAAAATGACAGCAAAATTATGACTGTCCTAAAGGGTTTAGTTTTATCGTTTGTCTCACGATTGTCACTTTGATGTTGATCGCGACATTTCGACCGCACACTGCTGGTCTTCATCAGGATATATTGTCGATTTACTGAGTCGAACTATTGGTACCACCGTGGTTGTTAGTGATTGGTGTATCACAAACCTCGCTCATGGTTGGTGGGTTTCGATCCAAAGCATTGTTGGCATTGTGAGAGGAAGAGGCTGATCCCTTGACGTTTCAGCGTGGTAGAGGTCAGTTGTCATGTTGTCTGATTGTAGACATCCAAGCTTCAGGAATCTCAATTCCACTGTACGTTCCTGTTGATGTTGTTAGGGTGAAGTCTCATGTGGATAGACTCCATATACGAGAGTACCATGCAGTGAGGGTCTCGGTCAATAAACTTAACTTTGTCCCAGAGCGGATAATGCCCGGTCTTATTGACCAGAGGGGTCAGTGGGGTCTTTGTTAAGAAGTCGATATGGACCGCTCTTGATAAGAGTTTTCATCCTCTGGCGATAGGTCTTGGTATCTTATAAAACTACGCTGGCGTGACCTTTGTCAGCCGGGAGAACCATGAGCGTCATCCTCCTTCAAGCCTTTGAGGGTTTGTTTCATGCCTTTAGTGATGTTAGGCTTAGGTGGCTGTGCCTTTTGGAGAAGATTATTTGCAGTTCTCCTGACTGAAGAGGTTTGTTCTGTGTCAAGTGGTCTTATAACAGAGTCGACTTTGGCAACTATCTCAATTCACACAGGTCCAACCCCTCCCCTCGCCCCACAAACAATGTTTGACGCGTGTATCCAGAATTTTTTCCGAGTTTCAACTTTATATAGGGTGGAGGGAGGGAAAACTGCAAGAATATTTCGAAAAGGATGCCCTGTTTTTTGAGGTAACCGAGAAGTGACAGAAAAAATATGACTATTGCATTACTGTTCCAAGGACTTTTATCCATGATTGTAGTTATAGTAACATTGATCTCATAATAATAGTAATACGTCGAAAGCGGATTGCATAAATAAACAGAAAGAGTGAAAAGAGTATTTTTTTACCCAATAATCTCTAGACTGACTTGTTTTTGTAACAAAAATTAACCTTCTAACAAAAAAAAAAAAAACATTATTTGAAATCCTCCTGACAATCTCAAACTTCATTTATGATAATATTCCATTTAACAACTGAAGGCCGTGCAAGAACGATTTATGGATAGGTACCATTGGTACGATTGGAAAAAAAAGAAAGAGAGTCTATTGGTCAGTGTCGAGTGCATTCTAAAGTTCTGTTTTTCACATTCAAGGCAATTCATGGCATCGTTCTCGTGTACATTGGGGAGCTGGTCTCCCTTAAAGAACGAGGTGTTTATACAATCTTAGATCTGCTAGTGGAACACTGTTGACCGCGCCCTCTGGTAAGACTAGGGTAACTCCTGGCTTGAGCTTTGGCTCGATACCAGGGATTAAGCCCGTGACCACCCGCTATGCAGGCTAGCCATCTCTTCACTGAGCTAACCATACCGCAGCCGTTTACTTCGTTTAGGTACATGAATCAAGATATTCAGTTGCAAGACGCTTTGAATTACTCACGTACTCTCTTTATCTACTGAGCGACAAAATTAGTCGAACTAGAATTTTATTTTCATTTTTAACAAGCAGTGTACCAATTAATGACGTCATAAAACCCTTGATAAAACCTATAGTATAAATGTCTTTGCGACTTCTTATATGTAGGACCTAACTACAGTTATCATAGAGCTTCGCTGATCTGTACAGGCAAGATCATGTTCTGCAAGAAAAAAAACAACATTAGATTACGCTCAGCTGTATTATTCAGTCAAACTACTTAGTCATTCAACCGCTGTATAATTTTCTAAGAACTAATGAACCGAGATTAATATAATCACTCATGCCATGATCAATATCATTATCGTAAATCGTTATCATCAAATTCATTAAATATATAGCCGTTAGAAAAATTGATGATAACAAAGATGATGTCGGTCTCTATTTACATCTCTTATTTTAAACTTAGCACAACAAGGTTAAATATCCCCACTTGGAGAAGGTGATAAAGCCTGGCCGAGGTGTACAACTCGGATCGGTGACGAGGAGCAACTCCTAGCCTACGTAAGGGCTTCTTCTTGTAACAACAACAACAACATAAGCTTTATTTGCATGACTATAATTATGTAGTTACAGTATATTGCAAAAGCTTTAACATAAAGTTACAATTTATAACAATGATAATGCAATGCAACGATTACTACAGTCAATCAAGTGTTATCAGCATGATTTGATAACAAATTAGCGCGTAAAATCATTATATAATGAGACCAATCTCAACAAATGTGAATTTACGGAAAAATTCTGTGAATTCATAAATTTAATTATTAATTCTGTGTAAGATAGCTGATTAAAGTCGTCAAAATTTTGTTGGATTTGATTGTAGAATTTCTCCCTTGGGATTGAATATTTTGGACAATGGAAGAGAAAATGAAATTCGTCTTCAATTATACCAGAGTTACAAATAGGGCAGAATCTATCGTTCCGGGAATTTTGATTATATCTTCCAGTTTCTATCATGAGTTTGTGGTTCCTTATACGAATGTTCACTAAGTCTTTCCTATTGGTTGAATTTCTAATTAAGTCTAGATAACTTGAAATTTTATAATAATAATTAAATAAGCTGTAAAATTAAGTTATATAACAATTATGCGGCCCGATAGGTATGATGGGTGGTCCTCTTTCGGTTCCAAATTGGATATGGATCTTATCTTCTTGGGTGTGAAATAGGATAAGTATTTGTCCTTTTTGGAAGCAGGGGCTGGAATTTAGGATATTTTTTGGTCTGAAATAGTAGGGTGGGGAAGTCACATTTTTATTTTTATTTTTGTCAAGTAAGTTGACGATTCCAGGAAGCACACCTCGCGTCCCCACCCGAATTTTTCACGAATATCCCCTTCACCGGATTTCCACGAGTCTGGCGCGCTGACTACACGCTGCTTTCCATATGATTGTTTTCCCACCTTTGTTTAGCGATCATGGATTGATGTATCACTTGCATGGTCCTTCATTGCAAGCCATGGACTCCTGTCGTGCTCCAACACAGTCCTTTCCCTTCCACTGGCGAGGGGATTAGTACAGGTTCTTGTTCGTACTTTGACGCCACTGCCACCACAAGTCACACTGCAGGAGGAGAACGGGGTCCATTTGGAGAAGCCGCCATCAACAGCTGTGAAAAAGATCGTGATCAAAAGTGTGTCACTAAGAATCATGATCCTATTAAACCTGGACGACCGTACACAGGGGCGGACGAAGGATTTTGTGATAGAGGGAGCCTAGAGATATAGTATACATTGGCAATATAGACGTGATAGCACCCGTCAGGACTGCGAACGGCGCACACTTCTAGGGAGTTTCGGGCGAAAGCTCCTCCGGGAAAATGTTTTGAGATTGAAGTTCTCTTTGATGCAATCAAGAGAGAACAATCTTTCTCTCTTGGTTCTCTCTTGATGCAATCTAGTGTATTCTGGAGGCTTAAATTTAGCAAATGCCTGGATTCCATATTGAACATGTTAATGCTGAAATATTTAATAAACCACAGGCGTGGTTGTGATAAAAGAAGTACAAGACTTTATGATGCTAGCAGAAGCCAAAGCGATTGCGGCGAGAGCACATCCTTCCGGCAAAGGCAGCGACATAATCTCTCTGAAAAATTGTCAAATCCAGTTTGTTTGAGACGGATATTTACTGCATGCATTCTGGGAGCTTTGGTCATTTGCAGCTAAAAATGTAGGCTTCGAACACAGATTCTTTTCTTATTAACAATGTTAATTAAAGAAAATATATTTAAGTAACAAAGCTCGAAGTACCATCCAACACACGTTTACAAAGAGGAAATTTCCGGACAAGGGGGGGGCGCCGGCGGGGCCCCCCTAGGCCCCCCCTAAATCCACCTTAAGTACAGAGTAACGTTTCTGACTTCACAGTCGTTTTGAGATTTTATCATGTCTACCGATTTCAATTTAATCTATTTCAAGCCAAGTTTTTAAATTCTAAGTTTAATTTTCTCGAGAAATATTTACCGGCAATACCTCTGTTAGCTTTCGTGCAGCTGGTTCATATTTCGCCTTTTTCTCTAAATAATATATTAAGGGCACGTTTCCATTACAGACTGTTCTCTTGGTCCCACTGCAGGGACACCTCCCAAATGTGGACACTTGGCCCAATGAAATACAGTCAAACCCGGCTTTACTAATACGGACACCTCATTATTTAGGACCGTTTGCTTTGTCCCTGGTGAAAGAAGGCCCTTACAGACACCCAGTTAATACGGACATTTTTTAAGGCCCCCTCAGTCATGTCCGTATTAAAGGGGTTTGACTGTAGTTCCCTTTTCTCACGTATTGTTATACCATTGCAGTAGCAGACCTCAGGAAACAAACCATGATAACATTAGAGAGTGAAGAGGAGACTAATGGGAGGTTGTACGTAGAGGACAATAGTAAAGAAAATAGTGGTAAAAAGGACACTTCTACGTATAGCCATTTTTCTTAGTATGGTACTTTAGCCCGCCCTCGGTTAAATTGACAAATTATTTATTATCACTTACGCTGGCAGATGACTTTCGTTAAGTCATCAAACAAGTCATTTAGTTCTGTATAATTTGACACATGGTAGGCGTGGTCATTAACGATGCCTCTTAATCCCCTCTGATGTTTCGACTTTGGACCCGATGCGGTTACTACCAACTGTGTACCTTTTCCCTAAAATGCAAAAATATTTACCTTAAAAGAAAAACATTCTAAAGGACAGAACATTTTACATGCAGTCGAATAATGTACTTATTAAATCATAACTTACGGATTGCACTATAACGCGTGAAAAGTTTTTTAAAAACGTGGAATTTGAAACTCAAAGGGGAGCTGAAGATAAATTCCCGTTTTTCCTACGTCTGCCGGAAAAAATATAAGTATTTGATCTAAAAAACAACGACGAAAAGGTATTCTGTACGCTGGGAAATTTAAACACTACTATTTGATGGTTTGTTCCATTAGATCCCATAAATGTTCAACATTTTCCTTAGCGATAAAATATGTTCATCTTATTGAAAAAGAATCGTGAACTTCTTCTTTTTGAGGAAGCCGGCACTTTCCATATCCACGGATTTCCCAGATACGATCGTAACGATCGCTGAGTAGGAACGTCACTATGGTCGCATCTTTGCTGACGTCATTGTTTACAATTTTGCTCATTAGCATACGAAGGCCGAAGGCCTCGTTGGATAACACCCTCCTCGATCTGCTTAATTATTCATATCCTACGAGAACCGAATTCATTAATTGCTTTATTATTCATTCAAAGTAATTCCTTGTTTAAAAACATAGCAAAAACATGCTTACCTGCATCGATGTTAAGTTCATCTTCGATAGTGTACGTTTAGGTTTGTCCAGCTCCGCAAATATTCTCCAAATAGCAGATGTCGCTCTCCGAGTTGTCTTCTTGCAGTTTTCGCTATGTTTTTAGCTATTATTTCACCTAGATCCAGCTGTAGTTCTTACTCTTGAAACGAGTGAAGTGCCCGCCATTTTTGTTTTCACAACCAAAACAACTCAACCTCGTCCCCAGGTCTTCTCGGTAACGGTGCCTTGACCTGTAGCGGGCTGCATTTTCGACGTCATTTCCACGTTAAATACAAAATTCTTCCAAATTTGGTCATCAGTAACTGGTTATGGTGAATTATGCGTGTGCTTTTAGCCAATCAGAATTGGGGAAATATTTTGAATGAATAATAAACACAAATTAAACTCCAAAGTTGAAAGAGTTGGTTAATTTGAGCAATTTTTTCGCGAAATTGCTTGTTGGCAAAAACGCGAATGAGCCATACATTCCTTATAAAGTTTCGATTTTCTTTAAAGATAATTTCTCCGAAACTACTCGGTATTCCGGGCTCAAATTTTCACATAACTGAAATTGTTACTCTCTTTTGATATTCAGAGAGTTTATTTCGATAGCTTCAGTAGGGAATGAAACGGATATACGGCCAATGAGGAAAAAAAACTTAAATTCACCTATTGAGTTACAGTTCATTAAAAAAAGAACATGCTAAGTGATCACGATTTGAAAACAGCAAGCCGGAAAGGTAGAACAACATCTATTGTACCTTCACAGGGGATGAAATAGCTTCAGTCATGTCTACCAACAAACCAAGGTCCAGTTTGCAACGGAACTTGTCATCTAAGAGAAATAAATGAGTAGATTAAGAAACAAACATTAATTTAATTATGAGCAAATATTTCAGCTATGTCCAGGAGGAGGACCCCCTTGTAAAATAGTCCTGTATCGGGAAATTAGAATTAGACCAGGAGCTCAAGGGCTCCTGAATTAATTCCTAATGGAAGGATAATCTGGACTAGTGGCTTAGGCCTTACTTAAGCTTAACTCCTAAAGAGAATACGAGACTTCCTTTATGACCACCTTTGGTGAGATCAAAAAGAGAGATGACGATATTCCCGTCCCCATCATATGGTATCCCCCCCCCTCTCCGGGGCGATAACTTGGTCGCTAACCGACCCAAGATTGAGTTCTCTCTCTCCATTCCATCTTCTACAAATAGAAGGAACAATAAACTACTTTTTACCTCTTACTCCAAGTACAAATCGCTGGCAGTTGTTTTTGACATCATTGGAGCAGTTAGACGGGAGGCAGCAATAGTAAGATCCACTGTCAGAATACTGCAAGTCGTTCACTGTCAATACATATGGCGCGTAAATCCCATCGCGATGTATGCGGTATTTTGCATCTGAGCCACCTTCCGAGAGAGTTTTTAAACGAGGTTTACATTTGCTTTCAAGACTGTCTAAAAACTTATTTAAACGAATAAACCCTTCCCGGACAAAGCTAACGCCTTCATCAAGTACACCAGGGGGAATACAGTACAAATTTTCATTACGCCAGCGTCGATACTAGCTGACATTACAAATCATCACATCCTATCCTTGCTCTTGTATACTTGCCCAGATAATGACAAACAAAACTATCTTGTAAGCCGGTGGAGAGTCCACAAGACGTTTAAGCGGTGAGATGTACAGCTGGCCCAACACTTACTTATGCAAGAGCGTATATCGTCTTCACCACTCTTCTGAAACTTCCATTCAACGTTTAATGGGAAACCTTTGGCAGGACACTGAAAAGAAACACTTTCTTCCTTGAATTTGTTCAAGTCAGTATCCTCTTCTGGTTTATCAAACCATGGAGCAACTGAAATAAAGGTAAGAATATCATGTAAGACCATGAACACTTAAAACTTACAAATGAAAATTAAAACCGTTTTGTCAACCACCGGGAAAACATTTCTTAACGTTGCCACCTGATCCCCATCTTTCTTTAGAGTACTGTTTACAAAGCAAATAATAATTGTACTTGATAATGTTTAGGACCAATTTAAAGATTTATTGGCTACATTTCAAATTCTAATCCGTGGTTTTATTGTTAATGTTGTTGTACTTTATAAGCCTTGTTGGTATTCCAGACGTACAGCCAATCACATCTCAGATTGATCAGATCTTTTGCAGGTTAGTTCATGCGTGAAATATATAACGCACTCTGTCTCAACAAAGAAAACAAGAATTTCATCTGCAATCGTACCATTTCAACTATGGCAAAATAGTGTTATAGTGAAAACTTCCTAGGACTCATTGTATACTCACTTGTGATCATAGTACTGTCTGATACATTGTATGCTTTAATATAGCGAAGCCGAAGCTCAAGCTCACAACTGTAATTTCCTCCATCTCTGGCCGCGGCATTTTTTATAACTAGTGGTGCCAGTGTGTCTGCAGGGTTGTCTGGGTTCGGGTTTCTCAAACTTTGCTGTACAACACCATTTTTTAACCATGAAATCCTTTTCAGCCCAGACCTCCTCGAGGGCTTAGTGATATTGCAAAAGATGGTGATACTGTCACCGTGTTGCAGCATGTTGACTTTAGTCACAGATACAACAGGAATTTCGCTTCCTAAAATGAAACATAAGTAAGTAAATAAGTAAAATACAATGAGAAATGCCCTAAAGGTGAAAAACCTGCTTATTTTCCTCAAATATATCTACGAATTTATATCTAAGACGGCTCGACTAGCTTAAAAACGGTGTTTACCGGCAGCATGTCTACGGAAAATGCTTTCAATAACCTTTTATAATATTTTTCCTTTCATTTTGTGTGTCTGCTGAATTGGTGCAGTGTTCGACACTGATTCACAGCTGAGCAGTTTTGTTTTTTCATATTTGATTTTTCTTGGCTTTTTTCCCCTTATTTCTTTTGTTTCGCGAGGTTTTGCGTTACTCGAATTTTTACAGATTTGAGCCAGTTAAACTTACTTCTTATGACGTTCACACTGAAACCATGCCTGCGCTCCAAGGCTGATCCAACCGCAAAAGCGTGACATTCGAACCTTCCCAATTGACCATACGTACTATCGTGTTCTAGCGTTACATTCCGTATGTGCATCGTGACAAAGAGCTTCTTTAACTTCTTTCCATCTGTAGAAGACAGAATATAGAATGTAGAATAAGGTATACAAGAAACTTGACAGATTTCTAACAGTGTAATAGTAATACGCCATTTCTGAGTTGCTCAAAGTCTCTGTTAAGCGAGACGAAGTGCAAAGCCATTGAAATGAAAATGAGTAATACGCCATTTCTGAGTTGCTCAAAGCCTCTGTTAAGCGAGACGAAGTGCAAAGCCATTGAAATGAAAATGATTTTTCATTCTCATCAGTATTTTTTTTCACAAAGTTTTTTTCTTAGCCTCGTTTTGGACGTGAGAGTTTATGGAACGCGGAAATAGCCAATAATATGTTTTGCCCTCATGAGCAAGGAATGCTGGGTAAAACCTGATGATTACTCAGACAACGTGCCGCTCTTTGGTTCGCGGAAGACGGCGACGTTGGAACGAAGGCTAACTCAGATCACTAATGTAAAGCGCACTTTCTCATCGTGTAATAGCAGCGTAATATCAAATATAAAATAGGATCTTTAGCTCCAATACTATAAAGAAACACTTTTAGGTTTTATTTTTATAAGACTTCGGCTTACCCTTGTCCACTTCCTCGGTTCGGTTTGTGAAATATATGTTGTCATTAGCAGTTATCTTTGTATAACGCGCATACCAGTCCTTCCTCATGAACTGTATCCTTTCAGGAGTTTTTATCCCAGCTGAATCAAGGGCTACACAGGTAACCTGGGCAGAAGTGAACTCAACTGGATAGATGTTAGCAGGAAATGGCTCAACAATCCTAAAATCGTCGGAAGCTGGTAGGAATGGAAAAAGCAAACTGTAAACAATAGGTCTGAAAATGAAGTTCAGCAGTTTTACTCGAGCACCCCAGAAAATGGACTTGAATTGGTTCGAATTATTGGGAGGGGAGAGTTTCAAAGTCTAAATTAAATAGGAGACTCCGCCAGAGTTTGAGCTATGTGAGGTTCGATCGAGATTATCCGAGAGTTTCAGGAATCGTTCGAGATTGGTTTATCAATGAATCTGTAGGTGTGTTAGAGCTAGTAACTTACCTCCATAAAATCCCTCCACAGAAACCGTCAAAATTCCAAGCGCAATTACTATGCACCCCACTGAAAAATCCATGTTGTCTGAGATCTTAAAGAACAAAGTACAATTCAGGTGGTTATAGTGTAGGTCGGTATAATGAAAGTAGCATTTTGTTATTGCAATACCATTTTTTCACGAAACGACATCAGAAAGGAAATTTTTTACTAGCCTGGAATTTGTTCCTTGCGTGAAGCTGTAACAAATGAAAGTCAATAATACACGGGCAAGAGTATTATAGCCTGCGCGCAGACGAAATTAAACTCTGGTTAACTCCGTCTGCGAAACAGCGCCGAAATCCTTGTTTTGTTTTGTTTGTCGTGATCGCCAATCAGGTTGAAGGGGAATTCGAAACGCACTTCCGGTAATTCGTTGAGTCCGTTGGGGGTCCAGAACAAGGATCTCTGCGCTGCTTCGCAGACGGTACTAATCAGAGTTCAGTTATCGTCTGCACGCAGACTAGAGTATTAAAAAGTGTAATTATTTCTTAAATTTACACGTTAGGGACTTATGCTTTATTTACTTAGGTGAATAAATACGAAGTTTAAAATGCACGTTCGACGGCTCAATGCTAAATCTAATGAATCAATCTTACTTAAAATTTAATTAATCTGTATTAATGAGTCCTTTAAGGAAGCAATGTACAGAGCCTCTTTCACTCATTCTACACGGAAACAGTGTACTACACAATAGCGGAAAGAGAAAAACCACCGAAAAAACAGAGTCTAATGTCGATCTGAGACTGAAAACATCCTAACAGCTGCTTATAAGTGACAATGTCTCGCGTTATATTGGATAAGTTGTTACGTAAGTGGAACGCCTGTTCTGTGAATGCCTGTTTTGGTAGTCAAGTACTGAACATGATAAACGATTTGTCTACTGAAAATTAAAAATGTGGAGTTACTTTGATTAGAAACACCATGCTACACAATACAGTATTTATATAAACGAAAAGGAAAAACCACAGACGTAACAGGGTCACCACAATATCTAACCTCAATATTGAGGCTGAAAATATTCTAAAACGAGTTTGCAAGTGACGCTGTGTTAGCTTTAAAATTTTAGTGAGTTAAATAATAAATATCACTGGACAAATAAGCTGTCATTGGACTCTCTATTTGTGTGAAGGAGGACACGAGCTGAATATGATTAATCATTTGTCTGCTAAAAAAATGTCAAATCAATTTGAGCTAGCCCCAAAATCGAATCGATTAAACTCTTTATAGAAGAACTCAGGGAGTAAAAATAAATTCTTGTAACACTTGCGGACCGTCATTCAAGGGAAAAAAGCCTTTCCATAGACTGGGTGTTTCGTCTTATAAAACAGCTCTTGTACTATGAAGCAGTTCTAAAAGAAGGCGCTTCTAAAAACCAGTTTTCGTGATTCTAAAACTGACAGTAAGCCAATCTAAGGGAACCATATCGGATAATAACGATTACCATTTCTGGGTTAATAATTAATTGCAAAATTAACTACATTCATCGATTTTGAGATAAAGATAGACAATAAAATCAAGTAAAAACTTTCGGCTGTTTTCTCAGGCTATTAGATGCCACTGAAAGGCTCATCATTCTCAGATAGATCACTCAGTAAATTGCGTGCACGTCAAGGCAAGAGAGGGCAACCACACCTTTCAAAAGGGTCATGGAGGTATCTTATATTGTTCCTAATTTTCTGACGAGCATCCTTTTCACTTTTATATGGGAGTCGTCCCGGGGATAGGAATGATAAGATCTTGAAAAGATCGATCGGGTTGACTCTTTAAAGTTATTTAATTTCGTTATTTAATTTTGAGAAGGAGTTTGAAAAGTAATTTAAGAATTCAATTGTGCTACCATGAGAGGGGCTCTCCTCTCTTCGCTTTCAGCACCTGACTGTCTGAGAGAGTACACTGCTAGCGCAAGTGAAGTTCTTAGGAAATCTCACTTTTAATACTATGGATGGGAAAAGAACTGAGGCAAACCCATATTTCGCATGCGGTAACAGAGTGATGATCATTATTTTTAAGTAGCATTGACTTCTTCTAAAATCTTCCCCATCCTGTCATTCGGTAATAATAGAAACTAAAAAATAACAAAAAACATAATAAAAAATTAGAAAACTTACTTTGGTTGACGATTACCTCAAAAGTAAACTAGTTATACAGCGGTAAGACTTCGGTTAATAAAAATCTTTTACTTCTTGTTACGAGCTGTCTTAATTTATAACACAACGATACGTGCCAATGGCACAATATCGGGGGCCGAGTTACCCAACACATCTACGATAATTCCTGTATCAGCGCGAAACGGCCACAAATCCCTTGCTTAAAGGTTCTTAAACTCACGTTCAGCTCTTGACATCAAGGTCGCGGGGCACATCCCCCACGAATAAACTGATAAGGAATAATTGTGCTTGAGGTATATCATTAATAAAGATTATTTTGGTCATTTTGGCCTAACTTGCCATCGTTTAATTTAATGCATTCTATCTGTCCGTAAAAGTTCGCTTCTTTGTTGAAACAGTGAGCTCTATGATAGTCCTTTTTCTTTATAGAAACGGGAAGTACGTGAATGTTTTGCCAATTGAGAGGAAAGGGCTATTGAATCACTTTCCATGCGAGACAAGAAATGACGTCTATATTAACATCAAATATGTGCTTATAAGAAATTCACAGTGAAATTTACTCATGCGGGCTTCAAAAGCTTTCAAACATGTTTAAGCGGTCACGAAGTTGTACGTTCGCGTTTTAGGAATTTATATGGTCGAACAACAACAACAACAAAAATTAAAAGAATCGTTATTCGACGTTTCAATTCATGTAACACCATTATTAAGAATTAAAAAAACGTGAAGTGTCAAAGTTTAGGGGCACCCGACTGTTTTCCGTAAAATATCTGTATCAGAGAAGCAAATATCGCCCAGAATTTTTTGTTATTTGAGGACGTCTAAAAGTTTCTAGATGAGCGTTCCATTGGCCTATTCGGCTAACTCAATGTTGTACCCAATGAACCTGTGGGAATAAACCGTTTTGTTTCAGGAATTTCCATATCATTTAAATGTGAATGCCACATTATAATGCAAATACAATACACAAAGAATCTTATCCCCGGGAGATTTGAATTGGGTACAACATTGAGTTAGCGGAAAAGGTCTACTCATGTACAATTTTAGAAGCTTATCTTCTAAATTCCCTACGCTTTTCTGAAGTTTAATTCAGTATGACATTTCCCACCCCAGGTTAGGCTATTTATCGTAGGAAAAAGAAAACCTAAAATTCTGGGATTAAAAAAAGTGATGCTGAGAGGAATTAAAAAAATATATCACTTTCGTAATGCTTTAAATTGCATCTAAAATTTTCGGGAAAATAATACTGAAGCCCTTGTAATTTCGATAAGATTATAAAGTTCCCGGCTAGGATGACCGAACGGATACAGATTTATAGCGCCGCTTAGAATGCATTTCTAGAGGTCTACGCTTGCCTAAAAAGTGTTTTCAATGCATTTGGGAGCAAACCGTCGTTGGGTGCGCCTGAAAGTTGTAAAAAGAGTTGAACTTTGAATTCATTTACACAGGAGCTTAACCATCACTCAGAACGTGTAATCAGACTTGACTCCAGCGAAGCATTGTATTAGTACATTTGTATAAGCACCAAGCACCCTAATGAATACAAATCTCAACTCTCTTTAAAACAACCTTAGCTAAACATCGAATAACGTTACTTCTAATTTTTCCACTGAATTAGAAGTGACGTTATATATGGCCTACAGCAACGTCGAGTTATGGAGGTAAGAGACTCCTTAGTCTTAATACCCACATTCTCATTATCTTTGAAAAAACTGACGAATGACGAGGAAGGTCGAGGAAGCCTGGCCTGTAAGGGTACTTTCGAAAACGGGGAAGGGAGGAATGGTGATGTTTTGCTGGAATTTTGCATTGGAACCCCTATCACACATCCCCCACTCTCAGTCTTACGTCAGACATGGGGTAGCTAATTTTATAGTATAACTCTAGACGGATTTCTGAAAACTAACCTAGTGAAATTTGCAGTTATTCAAAACGGCCAAAAGCCAAGCTTTTTCCTTTTTTCGTCCGATATAAGCCCGAAAATCACGCATAAGGAGCTTATGCGCTAAGAAAGGACGGCCTTTAAAACGAGACTTTTGAGTTTTTCTTCATTACCTTATTCCATGAAATTTTCGCGACACGTTAATTCTCGCGAATTTCACGATGCAACTTCAAAAAATCGCGAAATTAATGTGACGCGAACAATCAGAGTGTCGCGAACATAACATGACGCAAAAATTAAGTGACTCACATTATGTCCGTAATAAAGAAAGAACGAGTTTATTACCTCTGAAATGTTTACAAATCATATTTTTTTCCTTTCGAAGGATTTCTCAGTGTACATGAATGATGTCGTCAATTGACTCAAGAACAATAATTCACGTACAAGCATGAACTTCTTATGGACATTGTGAGAACTGCTTAATTTGTTGTTACTGGTCCCGCCGTTGCGTTTTTCTCAATTTTGACGTTATTGTCCCTTTAATAAAGTCGTTTAATTTAATTCAAAGACATGTTTAACAACATTGCCCAT